TATTATATGATATAACAATGTTGCAAAAAAAAAAAAATGAGAGTCTTAGGAAATAAGTTGGGTAATGATGGTAATAGCTCCAACATAGTCTTAGGAAATAAGTTGGATATTGCTGGTAATAGCTCAAGCATAGTGAGAATAATAAGTTGGAATTCCAACATTGGTGAGGGAATATTACTGTAACATTGAATATCTTTAACAGAGTAGGTGCAAATTTTTCGCTGAGTATTGATTGGATACACCTAAATTACACACACTGCACTATGAGGATTCTGATTTTGACAAGATGAAATTGCATTTCCTTATTCGAGAATACACATATTCTTTAAAGAATTGGCTGAGGACTGAAAAAGAAACTTATTTGATTAGTTAATTTCTTGAAGTTATTATGTGGAATTGCTATTAGTTTAGATATTTCATGCATGTTTTTGCTTGAGGACAAGAAAACACTTAGGTTTGGGTGTGTGATAAGTCTCCAAAAAAGTTCTGTTTAATAGGCTTTTCCAACTAGGTCTAGTTTGAACTTGAGCATTTTTAGGAGAATATTTAGAATTATATTTTCTTAATTTTATACATTTTGCATATTAGGAACTTTGTGGGTTGCCTATGGCTGAAATTGATTTTTATTGCTACGAAAACTGTTACATTGATGTCGTAGCATTGTAAGAAATGCTGAGCGGATACTGCAACAGTCGATAAAGCTCTAGACGATTGGGAGAACTTTCTGAATGGGACAACTAGCTTGGGCAGCATTCAATGGGCTGTATATTACTTGAAATGTAGAAGCTTTTCATTGGAGGATGAAAATTTCATCCGAGCTATAAATGAGAGTACTTGCAAGTTTAAAAAGCGTAACGATTAGAAGCTAATTAAAAGTACCATTTTCCACAAGGGAATGATTTGAATGCTTTAAGAAATCTTTGTGGATGATATTGTTGATTTACTATTTTATGTTTATTTTGTTACTTCTTTTGTGTGCTTGGTGCTCTATGATGAGTAGAAATACTTATGAATAAATATAAGGTAATTTCAATTATTTTTAGAAATATATTTGGTTGATTTTCTATATGCCTTTAATAGCGTTGGTGTTGCTGTGTAACATCTTAAAGTCGGGTCTGGTAGTTAGGCTCGATTTCGGCTAGATTTTCAGATTTTCGATAAAAATTTCTAAAATTTCTAAAATTTATATTTTGGTTTTAAAAATATTTTGGAAAGGTTTTAAGTGATTTTAGATGATTAATTTTAAGTATGATAGTTTAATTAAATGATTTAGTGGCCGAATTGAAGAAATTGGAAATTATAATTTTGGTGATTATTTTGTAAATTTTCACAATGTCCAAAGTCTATGGAGCAATTATATCAAGGCTTATGTTTAGAGTTTTCCCTCTTAAATTAAAATGTTTTATTTTTCTCTTTTTACCATTTTCCATATAGATTTATTTTAATCTAAATTACATTTCCTTATTTTTTTTCATTCACGTGCTTTTCATTTTATTCTTATTTTGCATTTTGGTAACTTCCCGTAACGTCCTTCATTTTCTCTCATTTTCACCAAAACAATATGATCAATTCTTTCTCTTTTTCTTCTTGATTTCTAAATTCACTCATCTCAATCTTGATTTTAATTCTCAAGTTTCTCTTATATTCTCTTCTTGTTTTTAAAGCTTGATCATAACGGAGTTCCATTGAAGATCTCAATTTCAATCTATTTTTTAGCAAGTTAAGGATATTTTCCTTGGTTTTCTTTCAAGCTTTAAGGGCATGTGACTAAGTTTAAATGGTTTTATTGAATTACTGATTTAATTGAAAGGATTTCTAATATTTTAATTAATTTTCGGAGCTAATTAATGTGTTGATTTCTAGATTTTCATAATGAAATTGAGTTTTTTTGGGAGTGATTATAATCATATTAAATCAGTTTTTTATCGTAAATGATTTGGATGTTGATTTATTGAAAACAATATCGATTTTCGATATATTTGGGAATCCAAGAATTTAGGCTTGTAGATGTTGTTTTGTGCAGTTCTAGCTGAGTTAGATGTTGATTCTAGTTTTTGTTTATCAACTTTTAGTGTGAAAATTCGTGCGTTTATGTTTGGAGCTTCCGTAGTGATGTTTCGGTAAGGGTTTCGGTGTTTTCAGCGTTTGCATTCTGTTTTTGAAATAGAGGATTTTTCTTTGCTTTAGATTAGATTTTGATATGTTGATTTTCTTTGCAAGGTTTTTATTTTTTTTGGTTCAGGAAACTTGGTGCTTTGATGTTCTTGAACGTTAAGGTAGTGTTTAAAAGCGTTTTCAGTTTTCGAACACCAAGGTGAGTGGCTCTCATTCTTATTAACATGGTTGAAGGTTGAGGTTGTATAATGTTGACTTCTTATTACGATATATATTGTTTATTTGGTTAATTATGATGATGAAATATGAATTATGTAGATTTACATATATTGCCACTTAATTTGGGAATGAGAATATGATGTGTTGCAAATGATAGGATTTTGGAAATGATTTTGTGAAAATCTATATATATTATGAATGTGGATTGAATGAGCTAAACTTTCTCACTGTCGAAATATGTGGGTTAGTCATGACAACCAAATATGTAAGTATGTTTCAAAGTGTATTTGAATCGATATGTGAAAACTATGCATCATTGACAACCGCTCTTGGTGAATTGGATTAATTGGCTATTGTTCTTAATAGGACCTTTGGATATGAAAGGCATGCCTAGGAAAGAGTACTCTATGTGTTTTTTATTAGTGTTTGATTCGAGATTATATGGGGTTCGGGTGTTATATTGAGCTTTGCTCCGAGAAGATAAGGGGTAAGGTTGGGCGTTGAGTTTACTCCATAATTTATGGTTTTAGATCTATGTAAGTCCGTAAGAAAAATAGGAGTTGTATGGAATCCATTTTTCCAATGAGTGAGTTGTGTTTCGAACAAAAGTCGTTGATCTTAAAATGGAAAAATGTGTATGATTACGTGACTTGTCAAGGAAGGTAATTGTGCATGTCTGCTTATGATTGCTTTTGAACTATATGGTCCTTTGATGTTTGTTTAATCTGGAAATCAAGTGATTTGGAGTTTCTTTCTAATGTTGTGTCAATTTTATATGCAAGTAAGATGTTGGATCATAGCTGTGAGGCGTACTTGGCTTACTTACTTAATTAGGGTGGTCGTGAGTTGCATGTGCAAGATATTGGTTCGAGACTTTCCAGATGTGTTTCCAGAAGAGCTTTTGGGTTTGCCACTGGATCTTAAGGTTGAATTTCTGATAGAGACTTATATCGACTCAGCCCATGTGTCTATTGTACCCTATCGCATGACACCTACGAAGTTGAAAGATTTGAAGGTGCAGTGTCAAGATTTGTTAGATCGAGGTTTTATTCGTCCAAGTGTTTCTCCGTGGGTTTTCCAGTTTTGTTTTTAAAGAAGAATGACAATACAATGCAAATGTGCATTGATTATCATCAGTTGAACAAGTTGACGATTCAGAATAGGTATCCTTTGCCGATGATCGTGACTTGTTTGACTAATTTAGGGGTTCCAAGGTGTTTTTAAAGATCGAATTACGTTATGGGTACTATAAGTTAATGTTGTGTGAACCGGGTGTGATGAAGATAATTTTTTGGACCCGTTATGGTCATTACGAATTCTTGGTGATTTCGTTTGGTTTAATTAATGCTCTAGTTGCTTTTATGGATTTGATGAATAATGTATTTCACCTGTATCTCGATCGTTTTGTGGTGGTGTTCATTGACGATATCTTGGGGTACTCAGCTTCTAAGGAGGATCATGATTCGCATCTCCAGGTTGTTTTGCAAGTTCTAGGAGAAAATAAGTTGTATGCTAAGTTTTCTAAGTGCGAGTTTTGGTTAGGAGAAGTGACATTTCTTGGTCATGTTATTTTCGCTGAGGGTATTCAGGTTGATCCGAGTAAGGTTAAGGTGATAGTTAAGTGGAAGTCGCTTAGGAATGTTGTTGAGGTTCGTAGTTTTCTTAGGTTAGCGTGTACTATAGACGGTTTGTTAAGGGTTTTTCATAGATAGCTGCTCCATTAACAAAGTTATTGCAAAAGGATGCTAAGTTTGAGTGGATGAGTGAAAGGCAAAATAGTTTTGAGTTGTTAAAGCCAGCTATGATAGAGGTTCCAGTGTTGGTTCAATCGGTGTCGGGAATAGATTTTATGGTTTATAATGATACGTCGATTATGGGTCTTAGGTGTGTGCTGATGTAAGAGGATAAGGTAGTTGCTTATGTGTCAAGGAAGTTGGAGCCACATGAGCGTAGCTATCCTACACATGAATTAGACTTGGCCGCGGTAGTGTTTGCATTGAAGATCTGGAGACACTACTTGTTTGGGGAGAAGTGTATTCTTTACACTGATCACAAGAGTCTCAATTACCTCCTCACTTAGAAGGAGTTGAATTTGAGGCAGATGCGTTGGGTTAAGTTGTTAAAGGACTATAACTGTGTGATGGAGTATTATCCGGTAAGGCTAATGTGGTTGCGGATGGCTTAAGTTGAAATTCAATGGGTGAATTAAGTGCTTTGTTTACTCATTTGAGTTTGGCTAAGGATAAAACATTAGTAGCTGAGTTCCAAGTTAAGTCTATGTGGTCTCAACATATTTGGTATTTGCAACCAAGTGGCGAGAAGTTGGAAGAAAAGTTTCAGTTCGTGCGAGATGGTGTTGGGGTGATTTCTCGTTAAACTCTAAGGGTATTTTGTGCTTTCAAGGTAGGTTATGTGTGCCGATGGATTAGGTTCTGAGGCTTGAGATTCTTGTAGATGCACATAGTTGACCATTTACGATACATCAGAGTAGTATGAAGATGTTTAGAGACTTGAGTGAGTTGTTTTGGTGGCCTGGGTTGAAGAGTGTTATTGTTGAGTTTGTTGGATGATGTTTGGTTTGTCAGTTTGTTAAAGTCGAGCATCAGTGTCCTTCGGGTCTGCTGCAGTAGATTAATATTCCTGAGTGGAAGTGAGAGTGGATTACGATGGATTTTGTGATGGGTTTACCGTTGACACCATCGAAGAAGGATTCAATTTGGGTGATAGATGATCGGTTTACTAAGTGTGCACATTTTCTTCCTGTTCATACTACGTGTTCATTACAGAGGTTAGCTGAATTGTTCATAGTTGAGATAGTGCGGTTGCATGGAGTTCCTTTGTCGATCATTTCAGATCGTGATCTAAGGTTTTTGTCGAGGTTTTGGCAAAGTTTTCATAAAACTTTGGGTTTGAAGCTTAATTTGAGTAAAACTTATCATCCGCAGACATATGGGCAGTCTGAGCGAGTGATACAAGTTTTAGAGGATATGTTTCGGGCGAGCGTGATTGATTTTTTTGGTTCATAGGAGCGTTATTTGCCGTTGGTAGAATTTTCTTATAATAACAGTTTCCAGGCTAGTATTCAAATGGCTCAATTTAAGGCGTTGTATGGGTGTAAGTGTCGTACTCCTTTGTTTTGGACTGAGTTGAGTGAGAAACGTGTTGTTGGTTCAGAATTGATTCAAGAGACTGAGGATAAAGTTAAGTTGATTAAGGATCGGTTGAAAGTTGCTTTTGATCGCTAAAAATCGTATGTCGATATGAAATGTCGAGAGGTTGAGTATGTTGTGGGTGACTTCGTGTTTTTAGGTTTCACCCTGGAAGAAGGTGTTACGTTTTGGGAGTAAGGGTAATCTTAGCCTGAGGTTTATAGGACTGTTTGAGGTGTTAGAGCATGTTGGGCCAGTGGCATATCATTTGAGGTTGTCGACTAAGCTTGAGCGTATCCACGACGTGTTCCATGTGTCGATGTAGCGTAAGTATAGATTGGATCCTTCTCATGTCATTTCGGTTGATGAGGTTGAGGTTCGTGAGGATTTTTCTTACGAGGAAGAACATGTTAAGATTCTAGCTAGGGATGTGGAAGTTTTTCTGAACAAGGTCGTTCCATTAGTAAAAGTGTTTTGGCGTAACCATAATACTGAGGAGGCGACTTGGATGATGGAAGAGTCGATGAGAGCTCAGTTTCCGTAGTTGTTTAGCTAAGGTAATTTCGGGGATGAAATTGTTTTTAGGGGAGAGAGTTGTAACATCCTAAATTCGGGTTTGGTAGTTAGTGTCAGTTTTGGGTCGATTTCTAGATTTCCAATCAGAAGGATTTTTTTTCTAAAATTTATATATTTTTTAAAAATATTTTGGAAAGGTTTTAAGTGATTTTAGATGATTAATTTTAAGTATGACAGTTTAATTAAATGATTTAGGGTTTAGGGTTTTAGAGTTATTTTAAGGTTTAAGGTTTAGGCTAATTAATGTGCTAATTTCTTGAATTGATTTTGAGATTTCTTAATGAAATTGAGTTGTTTTGGAGTGATTATAATAATATTAAATCCATTTTTTGATCGCAAATGATTTGGATGTTGATTTCTTGAAACAATGTTGATTTTTTGTATTTTGGGAATCCGGGAATTTAGGTTTGTAGATGTTGTTTTGTGTGGTTCTAGTTGAGTTAGATGTTGATTCTAGTTGTTGTTTATCAACTTTTAGTGTGAAGATTCGTGCGTTTCAGGTTTGGAGCTTCCGGAGTGACATTTCGATAAGGTTTTTTTGTGTTTTTGGCATTTGCATTATGTTTTAGAAATAGAGGATTCTGCTTTGTTTTAGATTAGATTTTGATGTGTTAATTTGCTTTGTAAGGGTTTTTATTGTGTTGTTGGTTGAGGAAACTTGGTGCTTTGAGTTTGTCTAAAATTAAGGTAGTGTTTGGAAGCGTTTTCGATTTCTGGACAATAAGGTGAGTGGCTCTCATTCTTAGGAATTTAACATGGTTCAAGGTTGAGGTTGTATAGTGTTGCATTGTGATTCCGATATATATATATATATATATATTTTTTTATTTGATTAATTATGATGATGAAATATGAATTATGTAGATTTACATATGATGCCGCTTACATTGGAAATGAGAATGTGAATGTGATATGTTCCAAATGATGCATTGGATTTTGGAAACGATTTTGTGAAAATCTATATATATTCTGAATGTGAATTGGATGAGCTGAATTTTCCCACTGTCCAAATAAGTGGGTTAATCATGACAACCAAATCCGTAAGTGTGTCTCAAAGTGTATTTGAATCTATATCTGAAAACTATGCATCATTGACAACCGCTCTTGTTCTTAATAGGACTTTTGGATATGAAAGGAATGCCTAGGAAATAGTACTCTATGTGTTTTGTATTAGTGTGTGATTCGGGATTATACGGGGTTTGGATGGTATGTTGAACTTTGCTCCGTAAAGATAAGGGGTAAGGTTGGGTATTGAGTTTACTTCGTAATTCATGGTTTTTGATCTATGTGAGTCCGTAAGCAAAATGGGAGTTGTATGGAGTTTGTTTATCCAATGAGTGTGTAGCACCCATAACCCGTATACGTGAATCAATACGAGTTACAGATGTCACATAAGAAATTCAAAACATTTCTTTAATTGAATTGAGTAAAATTTTGGTTTCATTCAAACATCACCAGTTTCTCAACTTGAACAATTATTATAAAATAATTATTCAGAGAAAAATCATAATATATGTTTTTCGCTACCAATTCCAAACTAGTTTCAAGCAGTGATAGACAACTCTATTCAGTTTCATAAAATAAATAAGACTGTCTAACACGTTTGATTTAAAACCCAAGTTAATTTTTAAGCATAATTTAATATGATAATATTTATTCATACTATTAATTATATTTAATACTAACTATATTAAGAAGTTGCAGACATTTCATTCGCGTATACATGCCAACTAGAACTTTTAGAACACAATAGGATGTCATTATTGTTACTTGTAATTATTTCCTTGGTGATTGATGCCAAGTCCTTACTCCTTTTTCTTCTTTTTCTTACAAGTAAAAATCATCACATGGTAAGTATACACTTAATGAGGCAATCATATGAATATTTAAAGCAATGTAACACATAAATTTAAATGAATAACAATATTCAATGCAATATGATCACTTCACCTGTATTACAACCATGTTACCATTTATTAACATGATATAATCGGATATCAAGTTTATTACCAATATACTTACCATTCATTATACAAGCTCGTAAGCTTATTTGTTTGTTTACCATTTATTAACCAATAAACCATAGCCCAATTTAAACCCTGAGGACCCTGGGTACACAAGTCAAATATATGCACAGTAGCGCTAACCCGAGTATGACACATAAGGTCGTGCCCACCATCTGCACTAGTTATACTTTAGTGTAGTCCCGAATATGACACATAAGGTCATGCCTACCATATAAACTAGTTATACTTTAGTGCAATCCTGAATATGACACATAAGATCATGCCCACCATATGCACTAGTTATACTTCAGTTCAATCCCGAATATGCAGTCTGTTGCTGGAAACTATTGCATGCCAACTATACACTGTCCCTCAATTACTTACTTAGGTATATAGTCTATTTTTATTCCTTCCATGGCAATATATATCTATTAATATATTTTAACCTTGGGCAGTTCATACCTGAGATAACATTCGAAATAAACATTATATATAATCATTATAAACATCATGTATAATAACCAGTGATCAATGTATTTTATGTTCAACCTTTGACATATTTAGAATATGTCACATATATGATAAATGACATAAATATCATGCCAATATAAACAAGGTAAACTTATCTCAAGTCCTACCCAATGATGTATAAAACATCCATGTATAATGTTCTGCATGCATTGAACTCACTTTGACATTATATACAAGTAAAAAATATAAGTCTCACTAAACTTTACCTTGATCATTTGCTTCTAATTTGGTTAAATCCCCAAAATTTATCATAATTTCATATTCTGACAATTTGCCTATCTTTAAAGAAATATTATTCTGTATTAATATAAATCTTTAAAATAAATTATATTTATACCAATGAAATCTATTCTCAAATAAGAATTTATCTATATAATGCACTTCTTCTAGTTCAATTTTTACAATTTATGGTGAATTTTCAAAGTTGACCGACAAAATTTTTTTTGAGCAGAATCTGCTGCCTGATTTTTTGACCTATCCTCGATTAAAAATTCATATCTTTTTGTATACACCTCGAAATTAGTTTCCATTTGTTCTAAACAAAAATAAACTGATATAATAATCCAACGGTATAAAAATCATCTTCTAATAATTTTGTAGAATTTATAGTTATTTTCTAAAGCTACTATCCAGAACACAAATTCTAAGTAGATTTCACCAATTTACATTTTCAACTTCTTCACTAATTCTATTAGTTCACCAAATGCAAATATATGCAAGCATCACAAATCACATAACATTTTAGGAGTCACTCCTTACCATAGTAACTCTGTCATTGGCTCATCGCAAGTCAATGTTTGTTTAATAACATAAGTACAAATTAAATTTGCACTCACATGGTGTCCTTAGCTTGCAACATTCCTTAGAATTTCTCATTTCATCCTTAAGCTTCTTCTCAACCTTAATAATATTTGATCTTGCTTTCAATCACTCAATCTCTAAATGAACATCATTACCAAACATATACATATTCAAACCAAATGTTAGAATCTTACTAACATAGACATACTTTGGAAAATAAATTCTTAATAAATTTTTTCGATGCTTATTTGATACAATTTCTATTTCACAACATAAATGTTGACCTTAATACTTCTAATTGACCACTCAAGCTACTTTTATACCAACTCCAAATAAAATTTTCACTTAAGCTCCCAACCTTTCCATATTTTTTATTTAAACCTCAACTTTTACAAGCTTTCTAAAAAAATCCAAATTCACATCCTAACTTCAATTTCAACACTCAAACATTAATTTCAAGTATAGTAAATCAACTATTGAACAATTACACAATAATCCATATTTTTTTCCAAAATTGATGATTTGGTCCCCTAACTTTTCAAAACTTACAAAATGGTTCCCAAATTTTTATAAGGCTTGTAGAACACTTCCTATATCATTTTTTGCCCCTACATAATTTTTCCATAATTTTTATCATCTCCTCTATAGTAAAGGTCGAATGCTTTGTATGTTCAAGATTAGGGTTTTCATGATTTTCCTCGATTTTTATTCGATTCAATCATGAAATCAATTTTGATTCAACCTTATATAATCTCTAAAATCAAAACCCTAACGTAATTTCATCAAAACACATCTTTTTCCCAAGATTAGGGTTAGATCGAAACTTCATATGTTCATATGATCATGTACAAGTGATTTTAATCATCAATCATGCTTGGAAATGATTCTACAACCTCAATAACATCAAAATCATTCATCTATTCCATAAATCCTAATGTGAAAATAAACCCTATAACTTGGGATCGTTGAATACAAATCAAATTAGCAAACAATAATGGTACAAATGATAGCATTTTTTGAATAGAACAATTTTTTATTTCATGGAATGATCCAAAATTCAAAGGAAATTGCCCAAAAATGAAAAAATAAAATTTCTCTTATCTTGGTCATGTGGAGCACGAAATGGAGCTGAAAATGGCTAAGTTTTCATGAAATATTTACTTCATTTCATTTTAATTTGGCCTTAATTTAAGTTTAAATTTAATGTGAAATGTCTATTTTACCATTAATGAAACTTGATATTTACCATAATACCTAGCCACATAACCCTTATCATATTCCAAATTCAAAGATGGATAAAATATTTCACCCTTTACAACTTTGCCCATGCAATATTTCCAAAATTTTAATATTACCATTTTTCATCCAAAGGTCCAAATTGAACATGGAAATAAATTTCTCAAATCCAATGGTCCATATTATTTCCCATCATTTTAACATTTGGAAATAATATTTCGAAGCTTAATTTATCATCCTTCAAATTTTCTCAAAATTTCTATTCGATTCGATTTACCGAATTTTTACAGGACTTTAACACTTTCTAGTTTTTAACACAATTTCCAGATCAAGAATCTGATTTCAATAAAACCACACTCTTAAGAGTAAACTATCCATTTATGGGAAGAAAATT